ATTTTAAGTATTTCTTTCCTATCAACCTCCTTACAAGCGGAGAGTAAATATTTTATACTCAGGATCATGTGTTTTTCATCTTTGCAGTCCTAATATGCTTAGTACATAGTAGGGCCTCCGTAAATGTTTGTTGAGTAATATTTTTTTTTGGAGCCTGTGGCCCCTTTATCTCCCCAAACTTCATTATGATATACTCAAGCATCCTGATCACATAGCTTCCTATATCCAGCTTAACCTTCTCCCAATATTTTGTAACCTACAGTGTGGATGGTAGAAGTGGTTGAGTGGTTTTGTTACCACTTTCAGTAGAAGTGGTTCTTATCCACTCCCAAAAGTATTCCACGAAGAAGAAGAATGGAAGTGATGTTAAAAAGAAAAATGAACACTTTAGATTTCTCATATAAATCCAGTCATGTTGTATTTGGAGATGAAGGATATGTGTATGACATAGATTATGGTGCTGGTTTCACAAATGTGTACTTATCTCCACTCATCAAGTTATATACATTAAATATACACAGCCTTTTGTATGTCTGTCATACCTCAATGAAGTGGTTTGGAAAAAAAAAGAAAAAAAGGAGAAAAGGAATGATAGAAAATGAAAGCAGCAAATATCTTAATGGCCTGACCCTTTAACCAATTTACTATAACCAAGTTTTATTTTAGTTTATTTGATTTCTCCTTTCAATGTATGAGAACAAAGGGAAAAGAATAACAGAAATATGGTTTGTCAAGGTTTCTGAATCTTTGTAACCCTCCAACTTCTAATTACATTTCTCTATACAGACAGGATGAACTCTAAACACCTTTTTAAAAAAATTTTGTGTGTGAGGAAGATTGGCCCTGAGCTAACATCTGTGCCCATCTTCCTCTATTTTATGTTGGACTCTGCCACAGCATGGCTTCATGAGATGTGCTAGGTCCACGCCCCAGATCTGAACCTGTGAACCCTGGGCCACCAAACCACAGCCCATGAACTTAACCACTATGCCAGGGGGCTGGGCCCTGTAAACACTTTCTCATTGATTTTTCCAGATATTTTAGTGTTCTATTATACATATAGTAGTTCCCCTCTTATCTGCCAGGGTTATGTTCTAAGACTCCCTGTTGTACCTGATACTGCAAATAGCACCAAACTCCATATATACTATGTTTTTTCCTATACATACATATCTATGATAAAGTTTAATTTATAAATTAGGCACAGTAACAGATTAACAACAAGAACTAACAATAAAAGAGAACAATTATAAAAATATACTGCAATAAACTTATGTGAATGTGGTCTCTCTCTTTCTTAAAATATCTTACTGTGATGTACTCACCTTTCTTCTTCCTGTAATGACGTAAGATGATGCAATGCATACTTCATCTCATCACATATGACATGCATGACATAGGCATTGTGACGTCACATCCCAGGCGAGATAGAGTGGCATAGAGTAAGATTTCATCATGCTTCTCAGAATGGCTTGCAATTTAAAACTTACAAATTATGTATTTCTGGGATTTTCCATTTAATAATTTCAGATCATTGTTGATCGCAGGTAACTGAAACCACAGAAAGCAAAACCATGAATAAGTGAGGGAGGGAAACTACCATAATTTATAGTGTTAAGAATAACCACATGGACAAAATTTAGGATTATTTCAGTTACCACATTCTCAAAACACTATTTTAAATTAAGAGCATATCTGAAATAATTGGATAATTAACCCAAACCCTTTATTTGACAACAGAGGCCACTAAAACCAAAATGGGATCTATCATATGAATTATAGTATTCTGCAAGCAAGGGATAGCCCCACAGGGCTTCCAAGCTATGCGAGTTCCAGTTGGACCGTCCGGAGCACCTGGGGCGGTATCCAGGACCATGGCTAGCAACCCAGGTCCCTGGGCCCCAGGCCAGTCTCTATTACATGTTTTCATTCTTCTGGGAGTTCTCAAACTTTTTAAATCTAAACTCTACTCCATTAAAAACAAACATCTCATAAACACATTCCACATTCAAGATTACCCCTCCTGCCTTGAGAATCAATAATGTACAAAGTAGCAGAGCTTTATCAGCTTGCTTTCTAGAATTTGTATTTTAAAAAATAATGGTACCTTATTTTACATTTCTAAATATAAAATTATATTGTCATATTGAATATACCTATTTAAACTTTATACACCCTTCCAAGGATGCTGAAATACGTCTCTGCATCATGCTGACAGCCTTAAACATCTCTGCAATATACAATGGTACTGTCTATTTAAAATCTTTTGATGCTTTAAACTCTAGAATGCCATTTGAAGTATGTGCCAGGTTTGTAGCTAGTATTTTATTTCACATTTCATGAAACATAAATTTAATATCTTTGAATATTAAATGATAGGTAGACTTTAACTATTATTTTGCAAAATGGGTAGTTGAAAACATTTGCATTTTATGCAGTCAACAAAGATTTCTGAAGGTGATCCAGGGCTCCTGTCTCATGTAGAACTGATCTTGTTATAGGTGTGAGATTATCTTACTTTAAAACCCAAATCCTGCCAGTAAATCAGCGACAAAGCTTTCATTTCAAATGTGGCCTTTAAATGCATAACACAACAGAAGGACAATTAAAGATAGTCATAGTCTATTATCTTTGCCATTGGTTCTGCTAATGAGTTCTGTGACTTGTTTCAGAATCAAAATGCTACTCCTGAGGAAGCTTATCAACCTAAGTAAGTGAGTCTTTATCACTTTGCCCTTAAATAGCTAGTGTTCTGCGCCTTTGAGTTTGGGGAGCAGCGCTAAAAGAAACTCTTTATAAAAGAGCTATTAGTCTTGTGCAGTCTAGGATTTGACAGCTCATGAGGTTACACAGACCATTACATTACCAACATCATTTCCAGTTCCTTAGGCATCTCCTCCAGCACCTCTGGAGAAACACTTCAGCTGTTTTTGTTTTTTTTTTCTTTCTTTTTTTCTCTCTTTCTTGCTCTCTTTTTCTCTCTTTTAATTTTACTAACCTATACTAGATCAGTGTATAAAAGCATTAGTTCTTTGGAGATTTTCCTCCTACATGCCTATTTTTATACCTTGTATGATAATACCTTGTTAATAATTTAGGTGGTAAAGGAACAAGATAAATTGCAAATATATATATATTTAGTTTACTTTTGCAAGGGAATCAATTGATGAAATTTATTTATTGAAATAAAATGGAAGGATTATAATCCTGTATATAGCATTGTTACTATTTTTATTTTTAAAAAAATTTATGTAAGTAATAAGCCTCTGAGCTGCAAGAGAGGAATGAACTAGGCATTTAAGTAAGAAGCTTTGAATATGGGCATTTTTCAAAAGGACAAATAGTATAAGTGTACTTTTATGATAAAATGCCAGCGTCTGACAATATATTTAGTGTAGTCTTATTTTTAGAACTTCCAATATATATTTCTAATCTAAATTTCGTCTAAAATCAGTGCCATAAATTTACATTTTCAAAATAGCAGCAATATATTTCCTATTTCTTATTTGAATTTCCTGTGTTTGGAGGTATCACTGTACTAGAATATCTAAAATCGGGGTAAAAAATGCTATTCTAACCCCTGTCTGTTGTATTATTTAAGTGTATGTTTATTTCATGATCTGAACTTTGCGACTGAAACGTTGTGTACTTTTTAAGGAGAAACTGGGTATTCATTATTCACCGCAGGCTGACCTTTCCCAGAGGACGCTGCTGCCCTCCCGGGGCGCGCAGAGCCGGGCCGCGCGCAGCCCTGGCCGCGTGTTACGAGTGACCGGCGCGCAGGCGCGGAGAAAGCTCTCTCTGGCCGCGGTGCGGGGTCGCCTGGTGTCCTTCCTTTCTGCTTGCCCGCCCTCCCTCTGCTCTGAGCGAAATGTTTCGTTCCAGTTATTCTCAAAGGTGTTGGGATTATACTTTAAGAAGCACGTGGGAAAATAGAGGGGGAGCAAAATTCCTGCTTGAAAATCGGTGCCTTCCACTTTCCTGGGCCGTTGTGCTGCTGCGTGCCGTGTGGCCTTCCCCGGGACGTGAGCTGGGGCGGTGAAAGGCGGATTCGGGAAGACTGCTCTGGCCTGCAGCTGCTTCTTAACGTCCCAGTTGTTTTTATTGTGATAGGAACAGATACCATATCTGCTTTCTTCACAATGTTTTACCTGTACAGTGCCGTATTGTTAACTAGAAGCATAATGTTGTACAGCAGATTTCTAGAACTTACCTTGCATAACTGAAACTTTATACACGTTGAACAACTCCTCAAATTATTTTAAAGCTGTTAAAATACTATCGTTTTAATGTGGGAGAGTTTGACCCTCTTAGGGCTGTTCAGCAATCTGACCCAAATGTCCTCATGGTCCAAAGAAAGTGTCTCTAATAGTGGAATCTTCTGCAGTCCCACTTAGGGAGAGGTGTCTGTCTGTGCGTTCTCCCCTGGGGGTTTACTGGATTTATTATCCTCCCTTAAAACGCCCTCTTCTGATTTTTATGTCTTGTATTCTTATTTCATGGATCAAAGATTGTGACATCTTTGTTTCCAAGCTTTTCCGGCAGCAATAAGCAACGTCTGTGATCTAAGACAAACCCTGAGGAGAAGGGAAAATCAATCACAATATCTTCGGAGAAGCAAAGTCCCCATAATTGTATTCAGATTTTGAAAATTATATTTTTTCTTCAAAAATTATCAAGATGATATATTATTACTATCATTTTATGATTATGGCTCCTATTATGATTAAAAATGAAATCACTGTTTCCTTACTAAATGTCACATCTTTACGTGGAATTTACATGTTAAAAGAAAACATCAACTGAAAGATTAGCAAGAATGAGCAATTGTAGTTTATCTAGGAATATTCTCCTGGAAAAATAGGTTTAATCATTCATGATACTTTAATTTTGTCATGTTCTGTGTATTTATATTTAAACATGTGAAGAACAATGAGAGGGAGATTATATCTGAGACTTTTCAAATTTGACACAAGGGTGTCCATATTTTCTTTTTAAGAAACGTTAATTCCTATAAGCCAGTGAAACAATCTAGAATGACAGCTATATTTCTTCTATTGTGTTCGGAGACCAAGCCATCAAAAAATGTTTCATAAGTTCCTTCATACATTGAAATTTGAGGTAAGTAGTTTTTGAAAGGTGATTCAGAATGCTTCAGATTGATTAATTGGTATTGACCCTAAATCTATTTGGTTATATATATATTTAAAACATTACTTCAGGAAGATATTAAAGTGATCTATTTTCTAATACATAAATATATTTAAAATAGATCAGGAGATCCTATAAAGATGACTTTTATTTTTTAATTAAACTAACGCTCCTTTCGCCAATCTGGTCTATGCATCACTTTCTAATGATCATCTTTATTGAATCATGTTATGAATTTTTTTTAAGGAAATCCAACACAGACTCTATGTATTTTCATGGAAATTTGGTTTGCTGAAGTATATTTGACAATGTATGTTGTAGAAATAAACAAAAAAAATCAAATGAGAAATGCAAAGGCTATTCATTCTGAGCTTGCCGTAGCAAAGCAGTCAGCCAGGATTATGTGCATTTGGCAGAGACTCAAGAGCAGTCAGAGTGGGAAAGCTTTATAGTGAGAAGGGAGGCTCTGGGTGAGCCCTGATTGGAGGCTGTCTTCCTGGTGAAGCTGTAGGTGGACTAACTGGAAGCGGGCATCCTATGTGATTGGTTTGAGCTGCATATTTGGCTTTCTCGGGTTGGTCCTAAATTGGAAGCAGGGACAAAAGTTGGGGAAGCTGTCAGTTATTAATCAAGTCCTGCCTACTCTGGGCCAGTTGTTCCAGAAGTGCTTGTTTAGCTTCCTGCAGTGTCACTATAGACAGCTCTGAGCAGGCCGGCTTCCAGTTGTTTACTGCAGATAAGGAGGTCATTACCTGGGCAGGCTGCTGCAGCCTGTGCGTCAGAGTTATATTTTTATGTGATCTGACCATTGTCTGTTTGTATATGCAGTCTCTCTGAATTAATAAGAAGTTGATTAAGAGAAAGAGATTGGATTAAATGACCTACCTGAGATTCTGTGACCTCCGTTTATAAATGCAGAGAACATTGATCTGAAGATCTCATTAACTCCTAGATCAATGACAAATATAAAAGAAAGAGGATGACTCCTTTTCCTTCATGTAAAGATTAAATTATTCAGAGCATATTTATTTAAACAAAATTAATTTCATGAAACACCTCAACTACTCAACATCTGCAAACAAGTTTTTTTCTTTTTTTCCACACCACTGACCTCCGAAGTAGTAGAAATCATGATAGTAAAGGCTGTCTTAATTGAGAAAGTCTTGAATTGTTTTTTAAGCACATTTGCCAAAAATCCAACTAAGTGGAAAAAAGTACTTATTTTTTTCAAGAGACATTGATTTAGTAGGTACCGTATGAAAGACATTGTCTGCACAGCAAAGAACAAAGCAGAAAAGGTAAATGCTCTCAGGAGGACTATGTTCGAATGGTAGAAGACAGGCGTTAAATAAAGTCTGCGAGGGCTGGCTGTGCACCAATGACTAATCAGTTTCCCTAAAAGTTAAGAACAAGACAAAGTGTTGAAAATTACGACACAAAACTTTTAGGTCTATTTAGTTTATTCCTTCTGAGTTAAAAAAAATTTCATCATTTTGACCTTTATTGACATATGACTTTAGGATTCATTTCGGATGATGTTTATGTGACTGTTAATTAAGATATTTTCAAGTGAAAACAAAACAATTCCAAAGTACAAATATTTTAAATAGTAAAGACCTTCATTTTCTCATATAATACGAAGCCTGGAAACTACTGTCCTGTGTTGGTTTGTTCAGTGGACCAATAACATAATCAAGAGTCCAGGTTTTTCTGTCTTTCCCGGTGTCTTCCATAGGTGAGTATGGCAGATGGAGCAGAGAGCTCACTCAGCATCCATCTCAAGCACCATTCCTTGCTTTCTTCCATTATAGATGCTGGAAAGACAAAATTCCCTTCCCCAGACCCTGTTCCCAGGCACAGTGCTCCTGTGGAAAAATGCTCTGTCTTCTCATGCAGTCACCGTGCCTCCTCTTCATCCTCTTTCCTCTTTTGACTGTTGTGGCATAGACATGTTGGCTGGGACTGTACAGCCATCCTGTACTTATAGGGAAAGGCCAGGGTAATTCAAGAAATCTTTTTCTTAATATCTTTGTAGCTGCTACCCCAAAGCCAGCAAACACCAACTTTCAGACTTTTTGTTGACTGAGAAAAGTAAAACTTTAAATTTGTTTAAGCCTCTATTTCTGTTACTTACAAGGACATGAAATAAACACAACATTTCTCTCTTTTACAGTATGTCTCTCTTCATGGTGACAAAATGGCTGCAGCAGCTCCAGAATCACATGTGGACATAACATTATTCAGAAAAGAAGACAGACTATGCTCCTGTACATGTCTCTTATAATAAAAAAAATTTCCCATAAAAGTTTATCAGTGGAGTTTTTCTCAGGTTGCGTTGACCAGGACTTGGTCACATGACAATATATAAAATATCCACTGCTGAAAGGAACAAGACCAAGATAATTGGACTGAACCAATCATGATTCATCCCTGGCGCTGGAAATAGGATCACCATTCTTGAGCTCATGGCCTTGCAGAGGATGGACACAATAGTAGTAATGGGCTTCTGTGAGCAGGAAAGAAGAGAGAATATATACGGACAGACAAAGGCAGTATTTGCCACACTGCCTTGAGATATAGAATCTCTAACAATAGGTCATAAAATTCCTATGAGTTCTAGCACAGTGCAAAGGCCAGACTTAACTTAACCTAATGAGGACACCCTATTTGGAATCCAATGTTCTCATTCTTCAAAGATGGGCATATAGTGTTAAAAAAAAAAAAAAAGAAAAAGAAAGAAAAGGAGAGAGGAACTCTGAGTTGTTTTGAACATGACAAAATTATTTAAAAATGTTGTTATTGAGCAAGCACAAAGAGTTGGTTTCCCATTGTCAAGTATCTCTTCTGTTGAACTAGAATTCTGTATTTTAAAAACCATGCTGACGGGGCACGTGTGTGTGGTGATGGATGGTAATGAGTCTTTGGGTGGTGAACATGATGTAATCTACACAGGACTCAAGATATGATGTACACCTGAAATTTATAGAATGTTACAAAACAATGTTACCTCTATTAAGAAAATGAAAAAAATTCTTTCCCCTTCTAAAAACAGAATTTAAAAAGACAAAAGTAAAATAAGCAAATAATAAAAACTTAAAAAATTGAAAACCAGGGTTGGGCCCATGGCTGAGCAGTGAAGTTCACGTGATCCACTTCGGTGGCCTGGAGTTCATCAGTTTGGATCCTGGGCACGCACGTACACACAGCTCATCAGGCCATGCTGTAGCAGTGTCACACGCAGAAGAGCTAGAACCACTTACAACTAGGATACACAACTATATATACAGTATCCTATAGTCCCAGTATCTATATATGGTGTGGTATAGTCCCAGTACTGGGACTTTGAGGGAAAAAAAAAGAGGAAGATTGGCAACAGATGTTAGCTCAGGCCAATCTTCCTCACCAAAAAAAATTTTAAAAAATAAATAAATAATAAAAAACCGTACTGAGAGAGAGAACGAGACAAGGAAGGAGGAAGGAGGACAAACTTTCTCACTCTACTTCTACCGTAATAATTTCATTTAGTGTCTTAAAGTTTCGGCTTCCTGTCACAGTTTCCTTTGAAGCAAGAAATTGCAGGGAAAAAATGTATAATCCACTGAAATGCAATACTTCTAAGCTTTCTTCCAAAATGAATCTTCTATAGTTCTGTAAATCACTGAAATAATCTGAATTGTTTCTCAGGATAAAGTTTGCGATTTTCTTATTTTTGTATTCATATATAAGATTTTATACTTTAGGCAAATTCAGAAAGGGAGCACGATTCTGAAGAACTGTGTGAGTACATGCAGGTTCCAGGATAATGAGTTAGAAATCAGTTGCAAACCTTAGCTGTGTATACATGAGTAAAATATGCAACTTAGATTGGATTCCAGGAGTAGGTTCTTTGGCTAATAACACTAGTGAGCTGTCATTGTTATTTCTGTTTCAAAGCAGGAATAGTCTTCAGCCCATCACGATATAAAACAGTTTTTCAGACTTTATCCAAAAAAAGTTTAACTATTTTCTTTCTTAAAACATTGATGTGCAGTGACTGGTACCAGTATAATTTGTACTAATAGTCTTCTCGTGAAACTTTATTCCTAATTTGTCAGCTTACTCAGCTCTAGTCTTCAGAGCTGTGCAATAAATTACAATAGATGTTCAGTACATTAATCAAGCTGACGTTTGTCCTGGACAAATACAGCTGGAGAAAAATTGATAAGACTTTCCAGCTTTTAATGTGTTCATAATAATAAAAACGTTTATAATCGCTGATATTTTTCTAGACATCCTTGCTTTGGAAAAATACATAATTTTTTTCTTAATAAACATACTACGTTTAATAGAGAATTGATAACTCACTTATTGAAGAAGTATTAACAAAAAATGGAGGTGAAGTGTTCATTTTTTGAATTCATTATGAAGAAAATATATTTGATTATAGAAAGTATGAAAAAGTAGATAGGCAATAAATACATTAGCTGAAGTCCATTCACTAGCTTCACTTTTCAAGATTTTCTCTCCCTTTGTTTTCTGAGGATGTTATTTTCTTTTTCTTTCCTTAGCTGTGATCGCTGTGTGTGTGTGTGGTGGTTAGTGAAGTTGTGCACACAGCATCCAGTTTCTCTCCGTCTGCCGCGCTCTGGGCACACTGCTCATCTGCAGTACCTGCTTTGAAGAGGTGTGGCCGTGGCCCTTGGCCAATGGCGTGAGAGGGGAAATGATGTGTGCCACTTTCTGGTGCAAATTTACAAAGCTATTGCTCAATCCTCATGCTTCCCTCCCGGGGGTGCAGACCTGGTGGGAGGATGCAGTTGAATGAAGCCTGTTACCTGAGCCTCGGGTGGAAATATCAAAGTCCCCGTGCTGTCCTGCAGTTCTACCTGTAGCATAAGTAAAAATGCACTATTTGTTGCGCTGAGAACACCAGGTCTGGAGACAGTTGGTTATGAGACCGCAGCAGAGCCTGTTCTAATTGACATATACAATATCATACTGTTTTTCTTTCAATTTCAGGACCAAGGTAATTGTCCTGTTATTTAAACTCTTCATTGAAAAAATAATTGCTCTAACATAACTCACTTAAACAATATCTTATTATTGAAAGCTGAAGACTTTTTTTTACTAATAAGAATCATAAATGGATAGCCATCCTGTGAAAAAGGAGTGTGTGTGCGTCTTTGAGCTTCAGTGTTTGTTGTTTGCTTTATTTTATCTCCTTAGGAACATGTTCCAGTTGTGTCACTGCAGTGTCACACACTTTCTGCTAGGCGCTGGCAAACGCTCTCTAAAGCAGCTTATCCATTTACATTTGTAGTATCGTATCACACTCGTCAGCATTTAGTGAGATCCTTCTCAAATATTTTGCTGGTTTGATACATAAAAAATGCTATCTTATTGTTTAAATTAATTGAGATTTTATTTTAAGATTGTTCTACTCTGTATCATCCTATGATTTTATAGCCTTTATGCACATTTCCTTAAATAAGTTAATTTTCAACTTTGAATTGATGTTACTATGTAATAAAATTTTTGACAATACTGTTTCTTCAATACCATTCCTTTAGCAAGAGTTTTATGTTCAAAATATAAAGTATCCTTAAGAAAAGGTATGCATTTGGGGCCAGCCCCATGGACTAAAGGTTAAGTTCGGTGGACTCCACTTTGGCAGCCCAGGTTTGGTTGCCAGGCAGGCACAGACTCTACACCATTCATCAGCGACCATGCTGTGGCCATGATCCACAGAGAAAATAGAGGAAGATTGGCGCAGATGTTAGCTCAGGGCGAATCTTCTTCAGGAAAAAAAAAAGGTGTATTTTTGCACACAGAATCACTGCTTGACTCAGAATAAGTTACATTTCAAATTCACTTTTGTGTTAAAAGAAATAACTACAATATATAATATTGCAAATTCTATGGAGATTGAACCTAAAAACTGACTGTCTCTTTAAAAAAAGACCCTAGAAACATGAAGATAAATTCTCTCCTTAAAATAAGAGATGATAAATGCAAGGTAGAATAAGTAAAGTGTTATTAATCATGGTGTAATCTGTATTGACTGTTTTATGTGAACTTTGCAGATATCAAAAATAATGTCCTCTATTATTGGAACCCTTGAAATTGATGCTATATAGCTCCCAGATATAGTGATCTTGATCAATTATCTAATAGTTCAGTTTATAAATTAACAATCCTAAGAATATGAATAGTAAGTTGCTTAATCACAACAAAGCTTACTTTCTCTATTTATAAGGTAGAGTTAATAATAGCACTTATCTCCAAGCATCGTTGTGAAGATTATGTTTAGTGGTGCAAGTTAAGAACTCAGCACAGTTCCTAAGGTCGAGTAAGAAGTGAGGACGTCCTGAGAACATATTTCCTTGCTATTACTCAGTTTAACTATCACCTCTAAAGAAATTTATTTTTCTTCATGACTATGTTATACAGAAGGTCCTCCAAGTTTCTCTTGAAATAAGTATTTTCATTAGTATTTCCATTAGCAATCATTTGCAAAGATGGCTGGAGTGAGTTTTCCCAATGCGCAGCCTTTATGCCATCACTTATATTTCCCCCATCCTTGCATCTAGGCTTGTCTTGCGTTTTGCTTTGAATAGTAGAATGTGGCAGAAGTGTGTGGAGTCTAAGCCCAGCCCTAGAGGATGGGGCAGCTTGTTCTCTGGGAAAGCAGTATCATCACTGAGGAAGCTTTGGCTAGTGTTATGCGCTCAACAGTGGCCCCCACCGCCTCGGTTCGTATGTTGGAGTCCTGACTCCAGTCCCGCAGAGTGTGATTGTATTTGGAGGTGGGCTTTTAAAAGGTAGTAGGTTTCTAGGTGGGCCCTTGTGCAGTCTGACTGGTGTCCTTATAAGAAGAGGAGATCTGGAGACATAAAAATAGACACTAGGGGTACACATGCACAGAGGAAAGAAATATGAGGACACAGCAAGAAGGTGGCCATCTATAAGCCAAGGCGAGAGGCCTCAGAAGAAACCAGACTTGCCAGCATCTTGATCTTGGACTTCCAGCCTCCAGAACTGTGAGACAATAAATTTGTGTCGTTTAAGTTGCCCAGTCTGTGGCACTCTGTTATGGCAGCGCTGCAGACTGACACAGCCAGGCTGCTGGAAGATAAGGCCACCAGGAGCACATGAACCGTCCCAGCAGGAGCCCCTTAGACCAACCAGCCTGCGCATCCAACTCCAGATGGTTGCAGAAAGCCGTTCATCTGACGACAGTACAAATGGCTCCGACAGAATAAGAAGACAAGAAAAGGGGGTTTGTTTTAAATCTTGGAGTGGTTGATTAGGCAATAATTGATAAAT